GCACACGCCTTTAATTCCAGCACTTGGGAGGCAGAGACACCTGGACATCTCTGTGAGTTCCAGGCCAGCCTGGTCTACAGCGCAAAATCCAGGACAGGCACCAAAACTACACAGAGAAACCCTGTTAAAAAAACAAACAACAAACAAACAAACAAACAAAAAATTATCAAGAAAAATACAGTACACACTGAAATTTGAATTTCAGATTAGAAAAAAAAACATACTTTCTAGTTTATGTTTCAAGCATTGTTCAGAACAACTTAAAGAATCTAAGGAATCATGATACACGTGAGAGGCTAAGGCAGACGGATTGTCACAAGTTCAAAGACAGCCTGAGTTACATAGAGAGACCCTACCTCAAAAAAAATTTTTTTTCATTGCTTACTTGTCATTTTCAAATCAAGCTATGATTTACATGCCCTTGATTTATCTGGCAACTTATCCTATTGGTAGACGTCTTTCCTGATTTATTGTTTTAAACGAACCACTTCCGTCCTGCTCTTCCATCCCCCCATACTTCACGGCACCTGCCACTAGTTGAAGTGGTCTTACGAGAGTATTGGCTGCTTACCTGAATTTAGACCAGACACTGCGGGAAAGAGGAAGCCTTGCGCATTAATTCACCTCTGTGCTTCAGAACCCAGAACAAAGCTGAGTATGGTGATGCGAGCCTGTAATCTCAGCATCTGAGAGGCTGAGGCTGAGGACTGCCATGAGTTCACGGCTAGTCTAGCTTGGGCTATATAAGGAAATAAAAGCCAGGCTATAGAAGGAGTTTGTTTGTTTGTTTGTTTGTTTTTCAAGAGTTTCCCTGTGTAGTCTTGGCTGTCCTGGAACTCGCTCTGTAGACCAGGCTGGCCTCAAACTCAGAGATCTGACTGCCTCTGCCTCCCGAGTGCTGGGAAGAAAGACGTGCTCCAGCTCCCTTCTCCTTATGTTTTGCTTTTCTTGCCTCAAGGGCAAGTGTCACAAACCCTCAACTTTGCTAGGAAGGCTCTACCCCTGAACCTAAGGGAACTCTGAGAACCAATCAAAGAAAACTGCACGTTCAGTGAGGAGCTGAATGAAGATGGTCTTTTCTGCTATACTCTGTCCCTTTGATCCCCAAATGAGGGTACAAGAGCCTCCTCCTCCTCCCAGAGAGAAGATTAGATTAATGTGTTTCTGATGCCTCAACTTGGTGCAAACCAGAATAAACACGAATGGCAGAAATCAGCCGATGAGCTCATGCAGGCTTTGATCAGAGACATAATTTCATTATGAAATTTTGAATCAGGCTGTTGTGAAGTCTTGCCAAAGAGTTTCATTTTCCCAGATGATATGGTGTGTTGTTTCTCCCCTACTCTCTTACCCTGCTTATGTTGACTGTACAAATTTCCCATCTACTTTTACAGTCTGACCTATCCACCCCTTCCAACAATATTTGCTGGGCCTGACAAGCACCCTCGGTTCGGCCAGCAGATGAAGAGCCTGATGATGGAGGTGAGTTAAGCTCAAGTTACTGGGGCGTTTTTGTTTGTCCCGCTTCCCACAGCTGTAATACAGTGACTGTTCCTTCGCTCTTCCCTGCCCCCCACCCCCTTAATGCATGGCAGCCAGAGGAGGCAAGACCCCTCCAGGAGTACGACTCCTCAGCTTTACAGCAGACAGAATGATTTAACTCCCCTGAAAACTTGCAGGGTGATTCCATGACTTATGGTACATGAGCACGTCGCAGACGCAGTTCATCTGTGCAGATACAATGCCCTCTCTTTCTCCAGACCCAGGGTTAGCACCTCATCACCGGCAGCCCTGTTGCTCCTAGCCACGGCTCTGTGTGGAGGGGGAGAGTCCCCCAGAGACCAGCTAGAAATGCCTCATTTCTGAAAAAAAAGCTTGTGCTGTATACCGAACTGATGTCTTCACAGGACACGGAGAATCCTGACCTCATTTTCATCTTGTCATGGGTGTCAGATGGGTAAGCAGCACTTGATCCCAAAGGAGAATTTTTCAGTGTGGTCTGAGGACCATGAGCATCAGACTCACTTGGGGGAGTGGGTCTAAAACGCAGCCTCCTGAGCCTCTCCCCAGCCCTTCCCTTCCACCTGATTGGAGACAGAAGCTCAAATGTAAAACAATCTACCTTCTTTCTTCTTTTTGGTTTTTGGGTTTTTTTTGAGACAGGGTTTCTCTGCGAAAACAGCTATGGAACTGTCCTGGAACTCACTTTGTAGACCAAGGTGGCCTAGAACTCGCAGAGATCCGATTGCCTCTGCCTCCCAAGTGCTGGGGTTAAAAGCGTGCGCCACCACCGCCCAGCAATAATCTACCTTTTAATGATTTATTTTCCCTTCCAGCACTAGGGTCAAACTAGGATCACCTGCATGTTAGGAAAGCGCTCCACCACTGAGCTACGTGCTCATATCTTAGTGACCCTAGTGATTGTTTTGGTGGCACCAGACATTGAACCTAGGAGCTCTCCCATGCTAGGTAAACACTCTACTACTAAGCTATATTCCCAGATCCCCTAGTCATTCTTGTATACATAGAAATGTTAGTCTCTTTGCTGTTATTGTTTTACTGATCCTGGATCTCATAAAGCCCAGGCTGGCCTCAAACTTGGTGTGTCGCTGAGGGTGGCCTGGAACTGAAGATGACCTGGAACTTCTGGTTCTCCTGCCTCTCCACCTCCCAAGCTCTGTGATGAAGCATGCAGTGGTGTATGCAGTGCCTGGAATCAAAGGCAGGACTTGCTGTGTGCTGGTCAAGCACTCTGCTAACAGTTACATCTCCAGCCCCCCCACACAAGTTTTAGCTCTGAAAATCCAGCTCTTCCCTAAAAGTCACCCTGCTGCTCTCTGATGGATCTGACCGGAAGCTAGGCCATGAGACCCTGGTTTCCTTTTCGCCAGTCTTGCATCCTCTCATTTTCTCCAACAAAGCTGAGGTGAGAAAAAGCTGGAGTGGGCTCTGTTGCTCTCTGAAACCATGTCTGGGCTCTGCACCCCCCCCCTCCCACCCTCCCACCTCTGGTGTCCCGGTGTCCCGGTGTATCCGTATCTAAGCTGCAGCCCAGGGCCCTCCTCCTTTGCCAGTGCTCCATTCTCAGGCCATTGGCTCTTAATTCGTGCCAGCTTGCTGGCTTCTGCTCCTCAGCTGAACGGCCACAGAGACTCCACACTTGTTCTCTTTAGGTCCCTCACCGACAGCAGATTCCCATCTGCCCGCTGAGAAGAGCCGAGTGCCATAGGTCTCTAACCCCAGAAGTCAGAAGAAGGCTGAAGCAGGGAGATTGCTGTAAATTCATAGCCAGCCTGAGCTACGCAGGGAGACCTTACCTTCAGTCAAACAAACACAGGGAAGAGAACTAGAGACATACACAGTTCAGGCAGTAGAGGGTTTGCTTAGCGTGTGCGAAGTCCCAGGCTCCACCCCCAGCACACGTGAAACCTGGCGTGACACTGTATGCCTGTGATCTCACACTTAGGAGGTGGAGAAAGGAGAGGAGGAGTTCAAGGCATACATAAGACTCTGCTTAAAAACAAACCAACATGAACGGTGGTGGTGGTGGCGGCGGCGGCGGCGCACAACTTTAATCCCAGCACTCGGGAGGCAGAACCAGGCGGATCTCTATGAGTTCGAGGCCAGCCTGGGCTACAGAGCAAGATCCAGGACAGGCTCCAAAGCTACACAGAGAAACCCTGTCTCGGAAAAACCAAAACCAAAACCAAACAAACAAATAAAAGCCGGACTCTAGAGGGACTCCACTCCAATGCAAAACAGTCCAAGTGCCAAAGCAGGAGGTGCTGAACATCGAAGGATTCTTCATGTGGCTTCAAGGGTTTGGTTGCTTTGTTTCATCTGTGGAAAACAGACAAACAAAACGCCATTAAATACAATCTAAGCAGTTAACCAGAAAATATAAGAACAGGCTATGTTAAAGTTAGGGGTTCACTGGTCAAACCACCCTCTCCATTTCTTACTTTAAAAAAAGATAGGATTTATAGCTGGGTGTGGTGGCAGATGCAGGCTGATCTCTGTGAGTTCAAGGCCAGCCTGGTATGTATGAATGTTTAACCACATGTACATATCCAGTGCATGCAGTGCCCATGAAGACCAGAAGGGGCATCAGATCTGCAATTATAGATGGTTGTGAGCTATCTGATGTGGCTGCTGGGAACTGAACCCCAGGCCTCTGCCAGAGTACCAAGGGCTCTTATTAACCAACTGCTGGCCCATCTCTCCAGCTCCATGCCTCCATTTTCAATTTAAATGCCCAGGAAGTTTTTAGACAAGGGTACAGCAAGCTGCCAGGCTGGCTCCCTATGAAATGTGATGGAGAGACTACTCTCTTGGTATCGCTCAAATTTCAGGGTTAAGAAGGTCTTCAGAAAGGCCCTTAGATTAAGTTTTGGAAAAACAAACAGAGGCCTTTTGCTCCTTCCTGCTGCTGGGTCCCTGTACTCCCCTCTGTCGTTAACAGCCTCTCATTTTCAGCCTAGTTTAGATAACTCGTCGTCGCTGCCTGCATCCTGAGAAGTGCATCCAGAATGCACACTGATGTGGGAATTGAGAGTCCAATTCCAAATTGGAGATAACTGTTAAGCTCCAAGGAGGCTGGAGGCCCATATTAAGTCATCTCCCCAGGATCAGTGTGTTTCTTATTATATTTGGTATCTATCTGTCCAGTGATCCTTTTTATTTTTAAGCTGTTAGGCTAATCTTTGTGTAATTCTTCCCCTCCCCTGCCTACCTCCCCCCTTTTCCTTAGGAAAACATGTTTTAAAAATGTCCACCAGGTCCCTTGGCTTGTTTCCAGAAGAATACTGTCACACTGAAGAGTAGGAGGAGTCAGCTCTTAAGATATTGTGTCCCGGGAAACTATCAGATGGTCAATTTTACCCGTAGGGCAGCTTCTCCCCAAGAAGACACTGAGATTTCTGTGACCTCCTCCATCCTTCTTGCTCCTGTGTCTGGCCTGGTCTAGATGAGGGACAAAACCTTAAGTGCAAAGTAGAAATTGATGTCAATGTGTAGACGAAACGTTAAGGGGAACAACTTCTCAAGCAGTGGATGAAAAAGTGGTCCAACCCTCATCTGTATTGTTTTCACTTATTTTTTCCCGTGTATATGTGTGGTGTGGGATGGGATAGGATGTTTGCATATGTAGGGGTGGGTGCTCATGCACACGTGTGCACATGCATTGTGGAGACCCTCGGGTTGACCTTAGGAAAAAGCCTGGACAAAGGCCTAACTGGGGTGCCTATGGACATATCAAAATGGATGTTGGCCAGGTCCCCCGGCATCACCTGTGGCTCCTCTGAGCACTTCTCACTCCACACCCTACCCTGAACCTCTCCCTTCCAGGGGCTGAGCTTCCGGTTCCCTTCTCCCAGGCTGATCCCTGTATAACTCAGCCATTTTGGCTCCACCGGTCTCTGGCCTCTTGTCCTGAGCCGCCTCTCTTGGTCTCCCTCCCCCGCTGCCCTCCCATGGTCCAGTTCAGTCTGCCAGCCATGTTCAGCCAGGACTCTTCCTTCTGCCTACTTTCTCTATTACGTCTACAATAAACATCTTCTCCCTGCTTCAGGAGCAGTCCTGTCCTCCTCCTTTTATTTCATTTTTTTTATTCATTCATTATCTATCTTACATATTGAGGCAGGATCTCTCCGTCGAACCCAGAGCTCACCAAAATTGTGCGGCTAGCCAGCTTGTTCAAGAGGCCTCACCTCCACCTTCTGAGAGCTGGAATTACACACAGGTTACCATCCTGCCTAGCTTTCAGGGGGTGCTGGGATCTAAACTCTGGCCCTCACCATTGCAATGAAAGCTTTCTATCTCCTGAGTCATCTCCCCAGCCCTCATATAATTTATTTATTTATTTATTTATTTTGTCAGACAGTTTCTCTATGTAGCCCTGGCTGTCCTGGATCTCGCTCTATAGACCAGACTGGCCTTGAACTCACAGAGCTCTGCCTGCCTCTGTGTCCCAGGTGCTGGAATAAAATACATGCATCACAGCTTGCAGCCCCTGTGTAACTTGGGTAAAGATCCATCATTAGAAAATGATCACTCCTTCATCTTTGGAAAAAAGCTGTCCAACGTATCCTACAAACCAGGATAGAGGAACTTTCTAGTTACTTTTAACAAACTGGAAGGATTGAGAGTTGTCTGTGATCCTAGGATGCCTCTCCACTCTCTCCAGGACTGGGGACTTGGATTTCCACCATGCTTCCCGCCTCCCACACCATCAGTGCCCATAAAAAAAAACACGAACCAAACTATTTAGCTTATTTCCCAGCACAGGGATAGGCAGACTTACACCCCACTGGCCAAATCCCACCCACCGCCTATTTTTATATGGCCCTAAAGCTAAGAATGGATTTTAGTTTCTTAAATGGTCGAAAAAGTCAAAATAAAAATAAGGTTTTATGACGCATGAAAGTGATATGAAATTCAAATTTCAGGGTTCATAAATAAAGTTTTACTGGAACACAGCCACACCATTTGTTTACATATGGCCTTTGGCTGCTTTGGCACTACAAGGGAGAGATGAATTGCTGCAACAGATAACATATGGTCGGCAGAGCCTAAAAATAGTTTTACTCCTTGGTCCTTTACAAGATCACTTGCCCACATCCGCGTCCAAGGACACTGGTCTGCATTCCCAGGGTTGACTAGGCATGTAACAGACAGATGGTGCAGCTGCCATCATCCTCTGAGAGTGTTCCCCATTCCAATATGGAATACTCTCCACACCCCCACACCCCCCACACACCCCGCCACACACCCCGCAGGCACTGGAAATTCAAACCAGGCACCCCTGTACATCTGAGTGTAGCTGATGCTTTCGTGGGCCAGCAGAGGGCTCTTTGCAGAGGTCTAGCTTTCCTGAGGAGGGGTAGAGAAGCTGCCTGAGGTCAAATAGGGTCTGTCAGGTATGTGCCCCACTCCCCAAGGAGACCCAGGATTTTCCCCTCTGATCTCAGAGACAACGGGAACTTCATGAAGGGACTCGACTCAAAAAGTCCTTTCAGCTGGATTCTGAGACTGACTTTGGTGACCTTGAGTCAAAGCATGAGGCTGAGAGACTGTTTTATCTAACATGGTCCTGGCACATTGGGGTCTTCAGGTCAAGACAGCCACTGGGACATGACACTGGGATACATCCTGTCAGCTACAGCTGTGGTGAGCCCATCTTGAGCAGTCATGAGCGGTGGGCTTGAGTGGAGAGGTGGAGGCTGGTAGAAGGCCCTGTGAACTGTGGGCATTGTTTATGAACATGTGTAATCCAACCCCTGGAAGCCCTCTTCCTGGAAAGGAGTGAGACTCTGGACAAGTAGGATACTAACACATGCAGACAGGGAGACAGGCAGAGCAAGCGTATCACCTACAGCTAGGCAAGAGCAGGCCCAAGCTAACTGGGCTCCAGTCCTGACCTCTCCATTCCTTGGCTGTGTGCCTTTGGTTCCCTCCTTTGCACCCTCTGTGTCTCAGTTCCCTCATCTATAAAACAGGCCTAACAACGGTCCACCTCACAAGGCTGAGTTGAGGGTTAAGCGAAGCATTGTAGAGCCAGGTTGAGCAGGAATAACCACCATAAAAATGTTAGTTGGACTTATGTTACATATCCTTGGGAGTCCTGGGCAGCAAAGAATACCTCAAGTACTCTTTCCTTCCTTCCTTCCTTCCTTCCTTCCTTCCTTCCTTCCTTCCTTCCTTCCTTCCTTCCTTCCTTCTTCCTTCCTTCCTTCCTTCTTTCTTTCTTTCTTTCTTTTTTTAATGACTAACAGTTTTATTCTCTAACAGGTAATTTTTCTACTGCTTTGGTAGCTTCCTCTCAGACAGCATGTTCTAGAACTGATCACTTAGCTCTTTCTCTACCTGTCTCTTCCCAGTTCAAAATGCTTGCACCTCTTAAGGGTCAGCAACCTCTTGGGATCTTCAGTTAGATTTGGCACACTCACCCTGAGCACCATCTTTTTTTTTTTTTATTTTTTTTTATTTTGGCTTTCTTTTGGAAACTTGGCTTTGTTGGCCATGATAGCCTCTCTGCTTCCAATGGTAGCGCTGCTTTCCTTGGGTGTACAGGGAACCCTAGCCCTTCTTATATTGGGTCATTAGAGGATGCTTGCCACAGTTCTTACATAAAGTCCTTTGGGTTTTAGGTATATTGACAATCTTTGCAGTAGAGGTGTCCATGCCATGAAAGCAAGAGATTGGGTGTCTGAGATCGCCCCCTCAAGCCACTCCCACCAAACAGGAATTGGCTCAAGCACTGACTTCTGGAAGGGACATTCAACTGGAGGGTGAAGCTATAGATTAATTGAAAACGGATGGATAATCCACAGCAGTGCAGAGGGGACTACTCCCTAGGGCAGGAGTGCTTCACAGAGGACAATCATTTGTTCCATGTTAAAAAGGAATGAACTAGCTGGGCGGTGTTTAACCCCAGCACTCGGGAGGCAGAACCAGGCGGATCTCTGTGAGTTCAAGGCCAGCCTGGTCTACAGAGCGAGATCTAGGACAGGAACCAAAACTACACAGAGAAACCCTGTCTCAAAAAAATAAATAAATAAAATAAAAGGAGTGGACTAGCTACAGATGTGTATGGAATGGAAACATATGGACATGTGATGTTCCCTGTCTTAATTTGTT